GCAGTCCATGGGGTTACATCAACAGTTTGACTGACAAAGGGGCCGAACGAATCGAACAGCAACAAAAGGAATTTACAAAACTTTTCAAATCACTTCAAAAGGTTATCAGTGAAATCGATGGGCCACATTTTTCAATTGCATTTGAACTCTCAAAGAACTGCAAGTATTGGAAATGGCCAATGGTTCAATCGTTTTTGAAGAGACAAGAGTTGAAATTGTATCCATTCCACGGTTGCCAGTTTGGGGTTATTGACTTGGACGGGAATCCCATGAAAAAGGGTTGGATGATTGCAACAAACATGGAAGAGTTGTCAAGTCTATCGGAATACGTTTGTGATGGTTCCCACACTCATGGTCAAAGCCGGGGTACTGCACTGAAGCTTGCAGAGAACTACACATTCAAGTTGACTGACTTCATCCATGATTGTTTTCGTTCCAGAGCTAACCGGGCACAAACCGCCAAGAACAGGAAAAGGTTAGCTTTGCCCGCCATGAGCCGACGTTCTGAAGATTCAAATTTGTCGATTGCTGAAAAGATGAACGTGCGGGCTCTCAAGTCGGCCGGTTTAAAGACCGTGCCCCAGCAGAGCAACATGTCGGAGTGGCTTGCTTTTCGGAAGTGCCTTGATGTTCAGGGGGATAGGCACGCAGGGTGGGAGGACATCTTTTCTACGATCCTCGCTTCGTCAACCATCCTGGCACAGGGCAACAGAACAGAAGACCTTGAGTTGGCTGCAGGATTTATGCAGTGTTTCACTGCGCAGTCAATGTCTACGGACGCCCTGACGAACGTGCCGTGGGCAAAGGAGATCCGTCATCTGTCCGAGTTGGAGCATGACTCACTGTGGGATCTGAGCTTGCCTACTGAGTACGTCCCTGGGACATCAAGGCCGGCGGTAGACGTCGTGCCCACCATCTATGTGGTGACTTCCGATTCAACTTTGGCTCTGATCACTGGAAAGGGTAAGACTTTGAAGAAGTACACCTTGAAGGAGGATCTGGGATTGCGAAAATCAGACATGGTTCTCGAAATCGGTCATGACATGCTCTGGGGTAAGGATTTACAACAGCTCTGCAAAGCAAATATTTCCATGATCAAGGAGCTGATGGCAAAATATTCTTCTCATGGATCAGCCATCAGGGTTATTTCGGTGATCTTTTGGTCTGGAAATGAAATTTGTGGGGAATATGGTGTTGAACCCCTTCCCATTTGGGGGCAGAGGGAGCCACAGGGTGACTGGAATGCCATCATGGACAGGGTCAAAGGCAACATTGTTTGGTGGAACAATCAGCTCAAGGAGTTGGGAGTGGATCAGGCCGCCCTAATCGGCGAGCCCGACCCGCTCACTTATGGGTTGAGTCTCATCTTCACGACGTTTATTGAACGTCTGAAGGAATGGTTCCACAAGGAGATTGCCAGTGACAACGATCGGATTCGGTGGATCAAGAATGACATGCTTCCACCGAGGCTTGAGCTCAGGGACTACTTTCACGCATTCGAGACCGAGCTCAACCGAAGCGAGATGATCGGATATGTCATGGCAACTCTCCACATGCTGCACATGACGGACATTTTGATCCCTCAGTACAACCTGTCTTTGTACAAGCGCAGGCGCCCTGCAGGTGAAGCCACAATGCGCGATGTCCCGCCTAAGATGGAGCACCTCCCAGTCAGGTTTGTGCAGGTTCTCAACTCTCTCCGGGAGAAGGTGAACAAGCCTGCACCGAGTGTCTCGACCCCGGAAAGCTTTACAGCGGAGGAGTTGAGGGATCGCCCGACTGATGCTGGTGTCGCCGAAGATGATGATGAGGAAGGCGACCCATGGGATGCTCTGGATCCCGATGAGCACGAGGGCCCATCTGTTGGCAAAGCCAAGGCGAGCCACGCAGCTCCGCCTGACCCCAAGGCGAAACCTCAGACGACGCAGGAGGATTCAACTCAGGCCACCTCAGCTGGTGAGCCCCTGCAAGAAAACGAGATCAAGGGTACCATCATTCCGAAACACGCACTTGGACACCTTGACAAATATCGCATCACTTTGGATGAAAATATTAACGCAGAAGTAGTTGAACATTGCGTCGTTGATTCCCATCCCTACGAATTGATCGTCAAAACCTGTTGGGAGATGGATGGGGCAAAGGAGCTGAGGTTCCCAGATCGCATGGACCGACACAAGACTAAGGTCAATGCAGTGACACGTGGACAGCCGGGTCAGGACACCTCTGGATTTGATGAAAACATGTGGCTTGACCTTGATGACTTCTTTCGAATTTTCAACCAAATGCTGCCAGCCAAGTTGCCCCGAATGACAGTTGAAGAGCTCATCTCATTGCTCTACTGGGACAGCAAGTGCCGTTTTGAGTTCCAGTGCATTGCCGGGTACCAGAAGGCAACCCGTAAAGGGTTAGCCTACTGGCCCATCAGGATCCGCGCAGTGCAGGGGCATACGAAACGTGCCATGGATGCCGCTTCAGCTGAGGACACGTTCAATGCAGTGGAAATCTATGCTCTGTCTGGAGCAGCAGCGATCCAGAAAATGAACGCCAAAGGTAAAAAGATTACCACTCCTCAGATGTGCCCTGGCGTAGTTTATCACAGGACTACAAAAGGCAATTGGAAGGGCATCATTGAGAATGGCTTCGTGGCTGGAGGAGGAGAACGAAATTCGTCAGGAAGAGCTCACTCCTATTTTAGCGACGTTCGTGTTGATGAGAAAGAGTATGTGAGTGGTTTGCGTGCTGAGCGACCCATTGAAATCAGGGTTGCAATGGCAGAAGCTGTCAAGGCTGGAATTGTGTTTTTCAGGACGGCTTCTGACGGCATTCTCACAAGTGATGTCGTCCCGCCACAATACATCATCTCTGTGGACGACACGGCAAAGAAGGTGAATCTTTATCGTCGCCAACAGGAGGTTGCGCAGTCTGCAGCAAGCAGTGGGGGAGAAGTTGGAGTCCAACAGCTTGTCGAGACCTTTGAGGCCAAGGCACCAAAAAGGACAGGTTCAACATCTCCGGCCGCCTCAACTGGCGCGCCCGCTGCAAAGACATTTTTCCCAGGGAAGGTGAAGCCTCCGCCACCAAATGTGGCCCAACTTGCCGGTATGCCTGGATATGCAAGCAGCAGACTGTTGCCCCCTCCTCCAAAGGGTGAAGCTCCGAAACCTCCTGAAGCAAAGGTTGAAGGACCGAAGACACCGCCAAAGGTTGAAGGACCAAAGACACCTCCAAAGACATCTCCAAGGACACCACCGAAGGAAGGGACTTCTGCACCTCATGCACCAGAAGTTCCAAAAGCTGTGACCTCAGAAGTTGATGCAGCGGCAAAGGACGAACCTGCAAAGAAGAAGGCCGCCCTAACAAGCGCGCCAACAGCTGTGCCTGCAGCATCATCAGCTGCAGCCTTCTTGGAGCCTGTCCCAAAAGTTGCACCACCAAAGGCAGTGCAGAAAGATCCAAAAGCTCCAGTTGCAGAGTCGCCCAAAAAGACGCCAGCAGCAACATCAAAGTCACTGGTGCCAAAGCAGAAGTCTCGCCCTAAAGGCGATGACCAACCTTCGAAGAAAGAGGTGAAGAAGGAGGACAAGAAGCCGGTGCCGGTCAAGATCGAAGTCACGCAATGTTCAAGATGTTTTGCACAGACTTTCAAGGGACAGATTGAGTGCGATGTGTGTGGTTTGATACTTGAAGGGATCAACAAGGCCGATCGAACCAAGATTGCAGAACGAAGAAAGGCCGCCCTTCACAAGCTGGGACTGTACTACGATTTCCGTGGGGAGTACCTACAGCAGATCACACATGGCCAACTTGAATCTTTGGGTTTGTTGGACGACCAGGCAAGAGGAAGCTCAAGTCCGGAAGCCGGCCTATTGGCAAGGGCCAAGAGTCGTTTCGACCGTGCCTTGAGTTTGGGCTATGTGTCAGTGGCTGACAGGTTTGCCCAGGACGCCACGTTCGCAGAGAGCGTGTTGAACGAGGGGGAGAACGAGTACGATTGTGAAAGGTACGACCTCCTCAAGTCCGCTCATTTGCCAAAGCCTGGTCGCACCAAAGCTCAGGTCAAGATGGGTATTTCTGAGCAATCCCAGCTGGAGCACAATGCAATGAGGCTGGTTTACTTGGATTTGGCCAGCCGCTATGATGTCCCAAAGTCTTTCAGGTACATCGACCAGCCATGGTTCTACATGTACCGAACCGAGATTTACTCCGAAGAAGAGTACATTGACTACCTCAACAGGAATCCTGGACACAATCTTTTGTTGTCTTGCACTGGTGTTGACAACATTGCTGTTCATGATGCTGAACGCCATTTGAGGTGGATTAAGGGACAAAATGAAGAGCTGTACAAGCAGAACGCAGCAGAGAAGAAGAAACAGTCTGACAGGGCCCGCGAACAAAACGAGGCCAAGCGCAAAGCTGAGCAGACTGGAGCGTACGGCCAAGGTCCCTCCAAGAAAGGCACCGCCAAACCGGTTGCCCGACCATCCACAAGCGTAGAGGTAGCCTCATCATCCACGTCAGCAAGTCAGTGGCTCAATCGCCCTCAGCAAAGTCATTCCCGTGAAGATCGACAGTTCACCAATGAGTGGCAGAAGTGGCATGGGCGCTGGTACCAAAAGGTTATCAGGCATGGCCGTGTCGAATGGGAATAGGGATAAATTGTGACACTGCTTGCATTGACGATCGGTTTTTGTATCATAGCCGCCGTTTGGGTTTCCTCAGGTCGTGCAAAGAGTTGGATCGGTAAGGCAGGCTTTAAAAGCCTCGCCCTGGTAAATGGGCAGCCTTGCCGTGTCCGGCTCACCTGAGGGGGGTGTATTTGCACTCCACCATTAAACCCATGTATGATAGTAGCATTCACTACAGCTGTGCGGCTCAGTCAAAAAGCGTGAGTCGCGTGCTTAGCGGATTTTAGGTTTATCAGTCCATTTGGGTGTAATAGGAATTACCCCTGCTGAAACCTGAAAATACACCTTTTAAACCCCTGCATCGTGTGAATCAAGGCTCGCTGAGAACGGCACCCTCATTGAGCTTGACATTAGCGCCAACCCGTCGGGGCACCATGGATCGCCGTGGTGCCAGGTTTGAGTTGGTGCCGTGGTGCACCCCAGTAACAGTTCGATCTACTATAATCCATAGCTGGCCTAGTTATAAAAAGTATTAAAATGTGTTATAAGTTATAAACCAACTAAGCTATTTTGGTGGATTCCACCTGGTAGAAAACTAATTAAAGTTGAAATGGCAAGTTGATTGGTTGATTGACTACTTGGAGGATCATACCACGTAAAGTAGCTCGTACCTGGGCTTATGACTCATGGCCTACTTATAAATGGGATATAAATGGGATAAGCCTAGTTCGGGGACTTACTAAGAGTAGTCGTTTCAAACATGTGTCATTTTCAACCCTAAGAATGGGAAGATCCAGCCCAGGCTGCACCAGGAAGAGGAGGAAGCGGCACAAGGACGGGTTTTTGTGGATGATCTTTTCATTTTTTTCAGGGACGGGTTGCTCAAAACCCGCTCGTTTGTTGATGGATTTATTGGTCGGTTGGTTGGTTGGTTGGTTGATTGGTTGGTTGGTTGGTTGGTTGGTTCAAGAGTCGTATTAATCAAATATCCGCAACTTAAAGATTGGGAAACCACTAAGGAACAAACGTCTGTCTTGGCTGCTTAAACACAGATTGCAAAATCGGGGGAATGTGAATTATGCCGTCAATCATACATATACCTCATATACCTAAGATAACCTTGCTTTCGGGGATGAACCCCCCAAGAACCCCTGAGGGTGTTGACCCATACCCAAGTACCCGAGTCAACTGCTGGTGAATCTATTGCAGATTGCATGGTTTTTAGGCTGGCTACATCATGCTACATCCACATTGAAATCATGGCCAGATGTTGGGTTCCTTCAACACATGCAACACATAAAAAAACACATGGGATTTTCGTAATCATTTTCGTAATGACCTCCCAAAATGGCCAGGGAAAAACCCAGCTGAGTCGAAGATGTCGAAGATCTGGATTTTCCGAGTCGATATTTGCACTCCAGAGTAGTCCATTAACTCCCGAGAAATATCCCATGTGAAACCTCAATCTTTAAAGTCTTTACTGGTTGAATCACCCATGTCCATTTTCAGATTCAAATTACCAAGTTGGCTATCCCATGAACATTAAGTTGGCTAATATAATAATATAAATACATACGTATATATTATATATATATCCCATAAAAGAACACAAAGTTAGCATAAGTTGGCTATTGTTTCCCATGGAAATCCCTATGAAATCCTTATGTTTCCATGGTGAAATCACCTCTGTGTTCAGGTGTAGGAAACGCGGCGGCTCCTGAGCAGACCATGTCCTCGCCTCCTGAGGTCGCAACGGAAAAAAACGGGCCTGGAGTACTACCCTTCACTGGGGATGATCATTCATGAGATATTGGGGATGAAATCATAGTTAATCATAACCCATAGGATCCATGTATGCGATATATGGTAACATTTACCATCAATATACCCCAAATGTTAGCATATATACCATACATGGATCCTGTGGGTAATGGATATGATCATGGACTATCCTCATATTCATTCATCATTGGGGATGATTATAATCATCATCGATTTATCAATTCTTAACCAAATTTTTCCACCACAGAGGGTCTTGAACAAATGCTCAAACATGGAACAATCTGCATTTTCGGGGAAATACCATCCATAGAAAGAGGTGGAAACACATTTTACCGAATGTTAAATGCCCCATGTGTGTGAAATGCTCAAATATTATGGATGATAATGGTATTTACACAGAAGATCTATGGCTGCCAAGTAGATAGAAAAGCTGGAAGACTGTCAATCGTGTGGGAGACAACAGTATAAGATGATGGAAACAACTGTTCTAGAATGATTTGCAGATGACTTTCACCATCCAAAAAACATGCAGTATTTCATCAACCCTGAAACTGGATTTTGGCCGAAGATTTTGGTTTCAGCAGGATTTTTTTGGTCTGCTAATAGCAACAAAACCAACAAGACATGCGGATTTTTATGGGCGGGTTCCATGGAGATTCAGGAAAGACTTGGTCCAGGATCAGTGGATTGAACCCAAAAAACAAGCGCACATGGATTTTTAATTTTTTCACCCAGAAAGCAAGCATTGATTGAAACATTTGTTTGCCCTTTGGCAATGAAACATGGCTAGCTGGAAAATCACCCAGCTGTACTTCATGGAATTTTCCCATCAATTTTGTTTTTCTCCCATGAAAACCGCCATTTCTAGGACATTTCCCTGCCATTCATGTTTGACTAGAGGGCAACTGGGAGGAATTCACAGATATTCACAGATATCCCAGGTCCCTCGGCCACATTTTCCCTGCTGGGAGGATTCCTTTGACAATGGTGAGGATGACTTGCTAGCAGGCGAGGTGTGTGTGCAAAAGGCGTCAGAATCCGTGATTACCCTCTGGTGAACTAACATAGCAATGGAAAATGGCTATTTATAGTGAGTTTTCCCATGAAAACTGGTGATTTTCCATTGCTATGTTAGTTCACCAGAGGGTAATTACTGCATTTGGGATTAAAATCAATCACCATTCCCATTAACAACACTGTACCAACTATTCAATAATACTCACCGTTAATGATAATTATTGATACCATATTAATAAGGAGTTATGACTTATGAATGATTATAGTATTCTGAAATGTATGAACATATTAATTGATACCATGTAGGTATACTATTGATGATACTACATCGTTAGTCTATATATAATAGCATACCTATCAATGAAATCTGGCTATCTGAATTATGACACACATTTTTTCCCCATTGCTAACAATTATTTGCTAATCAACGTGTACCCTCCAGTAAATTAACATAGACCCTGCCAGATAGGGGTTGGAAGATTAGTTTCCATTAAAAATTGGTTATTTTCAGGGTCTATGTTTATTTACCAGAGGGTACATAAAATTGGTCTCCCTTGACGTCCGACATCGGCGAAGTCTCCAGGTCTCCAGGTCTCCTCTGCACAGCTGGTGGTCTTCGCCAAATGCGTCATGCGAAGTCCCGCGCTGCTACGTCCCTCGGAAAAAGGAAAATGTTCAGCCGGAGATCCCGGGAGAAACGATGTGGAAAAGCATACCCTCTGGTAATTTAACATAGCTATGGAAAATCACCATTTTTAATGGGACAATCTACTATAAATGGCCATTTTCCATGGCTATGTTAAATAACCAGACGGTATGGGAAAAGCCTAGGAAAACGATCTCCAATTGCTGGCGTTTTCCACGAATCTGTTCGTTTTTTTAACGAGGGTATAAAAAGCAAAATGATCAAGATAATTTGAGAAAAAAACTTGGTGATCCAAGATTAGGATATTAATTCGCGGGGATACTGAAGTAAGAAGTTGTGTTGTTTTTGGGTTAGAAAAAAGGAGTTTACTTCAGCAACATACGGAGATTCGATGCCCGCAGTCTAACCTGGGGAACTTCACTGAAGGATTACCCTCTGGTCAAACAGGGCTGGAAATCCCTTCTTGATGATTTTTCCATCTGATTTTCCCCATGGAAAAGCTCCATTTGTAGAGTCCCCAGCCATGTTTGAGGACCAGACGGTAGATCTTGTTCAATCAAGGATTGGCCACTGGAGGTTGTGGGATGCAGACTCCTCATCGTAGCGGGGAGGTGTCTGACAGATTTCTTTTCTCCCATCACTCAGTAATCTGAAAAAAAATAATCGTTTCCGTGACTCCCCACTGTGGACAGATGTAGATACTGAAGACTCAGATGATATACTGTACATAACTGGTTGGTGGTTTCAAACATTTTTTATTTTCCACAATATATGGGATAATCCTTCCCATTGACGAACTCATATTTTTCAAGATGGTTAAAACCACCAACCTGTGTACATATAGTAGATTATATATAGTAGTAACTTTCTGCTACGACAGTGACAATCCTGACGAACTGTCCCTGTGAACTCGCCAGAGTGACACATCCCATGTCTTGGACCAGCGACTTAGATGATAACTTCACCTTAAAACATCCCATTGAAATTTGCTAGCTGCTAGCCATTTTATTCCAATATAGTATTGCTACGTATTGCTAATGACATGACGACATTTTGGATTAGATCTTCACAAAAAATGCTTGGTTTGTCCAAACATAGATCATTCCGTCACATTCTTAGCCACTATATCCCATTCAATTCCCTCATTACATTCTCAATATTACCATTATATCCCTATTGTATCCCCGTGTATCCCCGTTAACTGGATGGTTATATCCCTGTTAACTCCCTATTTTTGCTGGGGATCTGCTTGGTTTCATCCCCGTTCTGGTGAAATCCTGAATTTCACTGCTGAACAAGCCCCACTAGGTCCTCAATAATTATTTATTCTCATTATATGGGGAGGGGTCAAAACATACTAATACCATATGACTGGGGGATACTAGGGGAATAAGCATCCATCCATTAAGCAGCTATGACTTACCGTTTGGGGCACCAGGGTTTTGACCCACAATTTTTGCAGCATATGGTCTCAGAGATGTTGACCCATAACCATATCCAAATCCCATAACCATATCAAAACCATATCATAACCATATCATAACCATATCATATCTCTAAACTATCCAAACCCCTAATCTTTGGCTAGTTATGGGTCGATATTTAGTATTTAGATATGTTTAGATCCCCTAATTTCGATGGATTGGATTAAGGGAAAATTTACAGGAAAGCCCCATATTTAATGGGAAAATCTATGGTTTCCTGTAGATTTTCCCTTAAACCAATCCATTGATAATTAGACAGGGTATATCCAAAATTAGAGGATCTAAAGCGTCTCCACCGAGGGGTGGACCTCCGAAGTTGCGGATTGCCACCTGAGCTGCACGAGCGCGTGAGCACTGTGGCTCGGCCGGAAATGGACACGGATTGGTTGGGATGATTGGTACATATATATATAGTAATATATACGTGTATATATAATAATATATATATATTATAATATATATATATAATAATATATATATATAATAATATATATATATATAATAATATATTATATATATATATGTAAATTATCATAGTTAGATAGATAGGTAGATAGATAGGTCGGTAGCTAGGTAGATAGTACAATATGATACTATCTGATATATTTGTTTCCAGCCAATGTCTGCAAGCGCAGGCTGTGAAACATCGGGAGCTCGTCGCCAAGGGAATCCCTGTTGAGGTGCCTTTGAGAGTTGGGAGAGGTCATGGGAATATGGGGGAGTTCACCACCAATCATGGGATATAGATGGTGTTACCCTCTGGTAATTTAACATAGCTATTGAAAATGGCCATTTATAGTGAGTTTTCCCATAAAAAATGTGATTTTCCATAGTTATGTTAGTTTACCAGAGGGTAATCCAAAATTCCCACAACATCCAAAAGCGGTATTGCCCTCTGGTTATGACTAACATAGCCATGTATAGATGGCCCATAGAAATAGATGGTTTACCTATTAAAAATGGTGGATCTTTCCATGGCTATGTTAAATAACCAGATGGTAGTAATAACGTGGTTAATATATGTATATTATTGCGCTCTGCAGAGAGGATCGGAAAAGGTTCTCCCTACTTCCATGGGCTCGGACTTTCGTCAGAGCCGCACGGGCTAAGAATCATGGGACAAACGGTTGTCGGCCCAAACCGAAGAACCGCATTCTGCGATGCATCCAGAAATGCGGTATCAACAGCAGATGCACCTCAAAGAGGACAGATGGAGTTCACCTTCTGCCGACTTCCATGCAGCTACCGGAAAAGCATTAACATCCGGCTATAGGCTGTTCGTCAGCCTGTACACAACTTGAATTTGGGCACTTGCGCCCAAAGAAACTACAAGATAAAACAGGAGGAGGAAAAGGCTGCCGGGGCCACCTCCAGGCTCAAGCCGTTGGGCCTACCATTTTGGCAGGTGCAAGAAAACTGCAAGCTGTGCTGTGCCAAGCATGTCCAGCAGGCGCATAAGACATTTTCATACATTTTCCATGTCCGCCGTCGACGCTGCATGCCAACCAGAAACAATGCGGCGCGAAGCCAGCCATTCCCAAGTCCAAAAGCTCGCATATCCAGCCGAAATATCGCAAATTGCGTCAAATTGCCAACCACTTCTGCCCACGATGAAGGGAGCTATCATCCACGCAGTGCTGGATCGCTGCCTACCACCCATCAAGTCTTGCAGCTTGCCAGCCTGTTGTTGCGCGACGCCGTTGTCTTGCAAGTGCGTGGCAGTGGTGCAAGAACAATCATCCTCCGTGCTACCGGTAATTTTTTTTCCTGTGACTCCACTTCGGCGAATAAAAATGCCAAGTCAGGTAAAAATCATAAAAAAATGGATGTCGCAAGGTTGGGGTTCAGGAAAACAAATGTTGGAGCCAGGAAAGCAGGATTAGTAACATAAGGTTGTACCACAGGATTTTATATGTTTCGAAGATTTGCTTGCCAGGATTGCATGGTTTTCCAAACAAGGTTGGGGTACAGGAAAAAAATCTCTGGGCCAATCTGTCGAACAGGAGAGGGTAGGATCTACATAAAGGTTGTGATCATACTTTTTAATGCATTTCAGTGGTTTGTAAAAAGGTTGAATCCGATAGCTTCACTGGATTTTAATTTTGAACAGTTATGAACTCCGTATGGTTTTCTTCAACAATATCCTCCTCTGTACTACCAGTTTTTTTTTCCTGGGGGTTCAGTACGCTTTTTAAAAAACACTATTTTCCAAAAATCTAGCAGACAGTGGGTGAGGGTCCAGGGGCATGATACGGGGCCAGGAATCAAATATCATACCAAAAAAGGCCCAGTTTTTTTTTCCTAAAAGCTTCCTGACGTACAGTGGCAGGAAATCAATTTCTGTCTGTTGTGATTGAGGGGGGGTTGATCTATCAGTCTGTGTATGTAAGGCATCAGGAAATCAATCATGAATGACTCTGATAATGGGTAAGTTTGTAGAATTCCCAAGGTTAGTAGCCAGGAATTTGAAGGTGGATGGATCAAATGGGAGTTTACTAGAACATATCTAAATGTCAAACCCCAGGGAAAAATGTACCATGTTTAATTGAGGGGGTATGATTCTTTACATGACTTTGCAAAAGGGTACAAACACATATGTTCACCTTCACCAACCAAAAAAGTGACTTCAAGAAGCCAAGGCGCAGGGGTCAAAAATAAAATCCAAGGGGCTGGACCTTTTTTGACTGAATATTTGCGGATGATCTTCAAAGGTTGGCCCCACAGGAAAAAAAGTCGCATCACCAGGCCAATCATCCACAGATAGGACATGATGGGACGAATTCAAGAATTTTGTGTCAACGCGCGCCCAAATTGTGTGCTGAAAATACAGTTGTCCGCGCCCAAATTGACAGAAACACATTTTTTTTTGCTGAAAATACAGTTGTCCTTGCAAAAGGGTACAGACACACATGTTCAGCTTCACCAACCAAAAAAGTGACTTGAAGAGGCCGAGGCGCAGGTGTCAAAAATAAAATCCAAGGGGCTGGACCTTTTTTTGACTGAATACTTGCGGGATAATCTTCAAAGGCTGACCCCACAGGAAAAAAATCCCATCTCCAGGCCAATCATCCACAGATAGGACATGATGGGACGAATTCAAGAATTTTGTGTCAACGCGCCCAAATTGCAAAACAGGCGTTTTTTTTCTGAAAAGACATTTGTCCTTGCAAAAGGGGTACAACCACATATGTTCAGCTTCACCAACCAAAAAAGGAGACTTCAAGAGGCCGAGGCGCACGTGTCAAAAATAAAATTCAAGGGGCTGGACCTTTTTTGACTGAATACTTGCGGATGATCTTCAAAGGTTGGCCCCACAGGAAAAAAGTCGCATCACCAGGCCAATCATCCACAGATAGGACATGATGGGACGAATTCAAGAATTTTGTGTCAACGCGCGCGCAAATTACAACACATATGTTTTTTGCTGAAAATGCATTTGTCCTTGCAAAAGGGTACAACCACATATCTTCAGCTTCACCAACCAAAAAAAGGTGACTTGAAGAGGCCGAGGCGCAGGTGTCAAAAATAAAGTCCAAGGGGCTGGACCTTTTTTTGGCCGAATTCTTGTGGATGATCTTCAAAGGCTGACCCCACAGGAAAAAAATCGCATCACCAGGTCAACCATCCATAGATAGGAAATGATGGGACGAATTGAAGAATTTTGTTCCAACGTGTGGCCAAATTGCAAAACAGGCGTTTTTTTCCTGAAGATACATTTGTCCATGCAAAAGGGTTGTGCATTGCCGTGGGCATCTGCCGGACCGCACTCGTGAAGCCGTGGACTCTGAAAAACTGCGAGCTGTCAGCCGGGAAGTCAGGTGCCAGGAATTCATTTTTTTCCGTATCAGATTGAGGGGGGGAAGATATGGCATGTTACCAACGCAAGCATCCAGGAAATATTTTTTTTACTTGGATATGAGAGGGGTAAATTTATTGGATGTTGGACGTTGGGCACCACGAAATTAGCAAAGAAAATTCAAAAAGGTGGTTGGAAGTGAGATTTCGGCTTCAGAGGTTAGGAGCCAGGAATTTAAAGCTCTAAAACCTCTCTCAAAGGTTAGGGGTCATCATTTTAGACCGATTTTTTTTCTAGGACTGTACCCCACGTTTTTGTACCGACGGGGATCAACAATCATGTAGAGAGGACACATCATTTCTGGTCATTTCCAACAGAGAGAGAGAGAGAGAAACAGTTCTGGACCTCCAAAGCCTAGTGTCATCCATCTCCCCGTCTTGAAAGATCTTGACAGCATGCGAGCAAAAAAATGATGGAGCCGGTGGAAACCCTGTGACCCAGGATTTGAATTATATGACAAGAAAAGTGTTTATGCCAAACCCTCAGCAGTTTTTGAAAGGTCGTGATCTTCCAATTCAATCGACTTGACGATCTGAATGGGGTAGGTACACATGTATCATCATAAAGGTTATGACCCAGGAAAAGAGTTGTGTCAGCGCAATGGTGGGCCAGGAGACATGTTAGTCCACATAAAGGTTGTGGAACAGGATTTTAATTTGTTTGCCCGGGAAATTGCAACTTGGTTGTTGGCTTAAATCTGTTGGGTTGTACCCTTTGGAAATCAATTCCAAAAGGTTGTGGACCAAACGATTTAAGGCATTTTTTTCCAGGACTAGACCCTTTTGAGCGGTACCACGGGCTATAGAACAATCCGCACAGCATTCTGGATTGACAACACTATAAATGTAGCCACCTGAAATTTTTGCCTGAACTTTTGGACATGGAGCACACTGGCATTCCGCCAAGATGTTTTCCAAAGCAATGCGCAGAGGAAGTTTGAAACACCCAATGATGACAAAGACAAACAGGGCAGTCTCCCAAGCAATGACAAGATCGCCGGCATGGTACTGTGCACCATCCAAACTTCCACATCTGAGTATCCCGCAAATGGAGCGAAGAGAGCTCACCAAACATGTATCATGAACGAACGGATGCAACCAACCCTCAAACGCTCTGCTGAAATCAGTCTGACCACTGGAAGGGGTTTGAGCCCAGACTAATATACGGAATATACGTATATTAATATGGGATATCATAATCTTATTAATATTAATCATGGGATATAGACGGTACACATATATACGTGTTAATCTTTTAATAACACTACTATCAGAAGACTTGAGTTAGTAATGATAGTACTATTGCCAATGATGATAAATGAATATCTGTACGATTCCATGTATACATATACATCAAAATGTCTATATATATATATATACACTAACGCTATATATATATATTTATTTAACATATATCTATATATCAATGCACATATATATATATATGCATATCTACATATATATATATACACTTACCTAGTCAACATAATATTAAAGTTTCTATCATCTATAATATACATGATGTGGGTAAAACAATAAACCATCCCCCAGTCATCACCATTTTTGTAGGTGGTATATTATACCATTCCCAAATGGGTGGTTTATGGCTTTGTTTTAGCCACATCATGTATATTATAGATGCACACACACACACATATATATATATACATACATATCTAGTCGACCTAATATTAAAATTCTATCATCATTGTAACATGCTATATATCACGCACACGAGAGGCCTACGAGAGGGCCAAAGAGGTGGCCGAGGCCGAAGAGGCTGCCGCGGCGGCCGAGGCACCGCTTTTAAAGTTGCTGTTGGGGCACCGGCACGACTCAAGGTGGGAAGATCCATAGATTCATATATATATATATATATGATATATATATATATGATATATATATGATATATATATGTATTATATATATATATAAATATGTAAAATCAAATATATATATATAATTATATCATATTCTTTAGAACAATAAATCATTTCCTGTAATGATTATCTATATACATATCTATATATACACAGTTATATCTGGTATAATTTCCTGTAATGACATTAATATACTGGAGGAATATAAAAAATCTAATAGTGATATTTCGTTATCATAGTTATACCGTTGTACTACTGTTTATCAATGGGGAATATATAATTATCACAATGGCAAATTTAGTTATAGATACGATTGATATTTATAAGAACGTGATAAATCAAAAATTACTATAATGGGGAATACATATACACATAATCCATACCGTCCATGTGATCACATGATAATAACATGACAATGATAATGATGAACACCATGATATGAAATATACATATTTTGGGGAATATAGAATCAGTTTCTATACCATCCATATGATTACTCCCCCCGTTCATATCAAATACCCAGCAGAAACCATGGTAATGATGGTAATGATAATTGTATATAAATCAGAAAACAATTTCTGTATATGTATGTATGTAACAATAATATGGTGATGGTGACAATAATGAAACATAATGGGGAAGATATAATCTATACCATATATATATATAACCTATAATCTATAACAACCATTTGAAAATCAAAGATAATGATGATAATAATTAAGGCCATGGAACATAACTGGGAATATATAATCTATATAGTCATTTACCCATGGACATGATACTTACCAATTAATTATGATTACTATAAAGATGACAGTAATCATAAGAAGAAGAATCAAATAACGTTTATACTATTTTACAGTAATTACATCTAAATACCACGATCAAATTCTATATTAATGTCTATTTTAGTGGCATGATCAGATTCTCATACCATTGAGATTCATACCATAGTTCGCCTATTTATGGGAAGATGATGGGACAATGGGAATTTCAGGATCCTAAATTTAAGGTACCTACCATGTATAAGGCCTATATAAGGGCTATGTAAGGGAATATCCCCAGAAAATACGTCCTTATATGGTACAGTACCTCCATTTTAGGATCAAAAAAAATCCCATTGAATGATGGGACAATGGGGAATTGCAGGATCCTAAATTTAAGGTACCTACCATGTATAAGGCCTATATAAGGGCTATGTAAGGGAATATCCCCAGAAAATATGTCCTTGTATGGTGCAGTACCTCCATTTTAGGATCAAAAAAAAACCCATTGAATGATGGGACAATGGGGAATTGCAGATGATTGATTTTCAACAGGGAGATTCCGAAAGATCTGAAACCGGGGCGTCCCGGAACAGGAAGAGTTGGCCCAGGGTGAAGAAGAGGAAGGGGAAGAGAAGGTCCTGGTGGGGCCCATGGATGATTCACCGTCAATATGGTGATGTTCGACGGTAACTAAAATGACCAGAGGGTAGAGGTCAATGTATGGAACATCACCAATTGTTTTTTTCAAGGTGGTTGATCATTGATATGGGTAAAAAATCATGGCTTGATATTCAAGATGTTTATATTTTTTTTAATGGGAAACCATGAATTTCATTGCTCAACTTAAATCAGGTGTGGGATTTCTAGCCCTGCCAAGCAGGGGTTTAGAAACTCCAGTTGATCCAGTCTGTAGAAAATGTGTACAATTTCGCCTAGTTCACTGGATTGGTTTAAGGGAACATTTACAGGAAAACTTCATATTTAATGGGAAAATCTATGGTTTGCTGTAGATGTTCCCTTAAACCAATCCATTGACTACTGTAGATGATACAGGATTGCCTGGTCTCATTTGTTTTCAACCTACAGATGCTTGAATAGGACCAATCGAACTGACATCCCCATCCATTTTTATTAGCAGGGTCTAACTATGATCTAAAAATTGGATGACGGTTGACCCCCCCCGGTTTACTTAACATGTTTATCCACGGGAGATCTGGTAAGCAACCTAAACCGATTTTATCCAAAAATCCTTGAACCCACTGAAATGATGGGATGTGGAAATCATGTATATTATTGTTCATGTTTTTTTTTCTTCTTCTTCACCCACGAAATCGTCCAATGTTTTCCCAAGTTGTTCCTTTTCAAACATGTCAGGTTGAAGAGAAAGAGCCCGAAGAAAAGGCTGACGAAACCGAAAAGCCCGAGGCAGGGTCAGTCGTTGTTTTGGGGACCTGGGGTGCAACATTTGGACATATTGACCACAAAGGTTGGGAGTTATATAGTTATTTTTGCATGTTTGAAAGATTGGGATGTAAATCATCAGAAATGAGGTTGTTACAGTAAGAATTGTTAAACCAAAAATCATCGGGATATCAACCATTATCAACCATTATCAACCAATCAATCTGATAAACAAACACAAAAACGACTTGCTTCTCAACCGGGGTAGCAGGACCAGCGCAAGTGTTCATGCTTCTTTGTCTTGCCGTCTTGTAGGTAATGAATTTCAATTCGTTTGCATGGCATGCATTTCTTGCTTCTGATAAGTATTCGTCCATGTCCTTACCAGAAAAACGAGATGACCACATGGGTAGCGGCCATTTTTTTTTTGGCCCCAAACACTTGGAGGTTTCCTGGCGATTTCGTGCCGCAGGGTGAGGAGGAAAAGAAAGAGGGAGAGTGAGGGCCCGGCTGTGGCGTTCCTTGCTGTTCAACCCGTGACAAGATGCTTTGATATGGGCATATCCCAAGGCACATCCTGGCCACCGTCCCTTCGGTAGACCATGTTTGGTGACTTTTTTTGGGCTGCCCACTGGGGGAACACACTCAAATTCATCGAAAAAAAATCAACATTGCATTTAGATAGTTGCTGGAAGGTGAGATTTGGCTGTTTATGTTGGCTTGATACTGCCATTAGCACTGCTGTTTGTTATGAAAGTGTTCTTCTTTTTGCGTTGTGAAACCCCAAGAGTTCTCTGCTCTGTAATGCTTGACTCAGATTGCAGAGATTTGGCTTTCTGTCCAGTCACTGTGGCTTCGATTTGAAGTGTTTTCCTCAACCTTTTGATTTGGTCAGGGCACCAGTATCCATCCACCAAGGATGGTATATATCTAAATAAAGCTATATTATATATGTATATATATATAACTATGACAACTATATATATAAACAATTATAACAATTATACATACATACATCTATTTGTATTTATATAGCTATTGACATACAACTATATATATATTGAACTATATATATATTGAACTATATATATATATTGAACTATATATATATAACTATATATAAAACTATATATATAACTATATATATATGCAACTATATATATATATAACTATATATATATAACTATATATATATAACTATATGTATAACTATATATAGCTATATATATATAACTATATATATATACGTGTATATATATACATATAACTATATAACTCTATATATAATATTTCTATAACTATTTATAGTTATATCTATATAACTATAACAACTACATAACAACTATACATGAATACATATATTTGTATTTATATAGCTATATACATATAACCGTATATCTAACTATATCTGTATAACTATACATCTATATAGAAGTCTATATATACATATAACTATATATACATGTATTTACTATGTATATATATATATGTGCTATAATATACATATATATTTACTATATATATACACATATAAATAGCTATCTATATATAACTATGTGTATATATATAACTATGTGTATATATATATTATATAGAGGCATGCTTTTTGGGGTGACCGGCAAGCGTGGCCCTCCAGTCAAAATCTCACCCGTGTCATTGTCTCACCACTCTGATGGACGTCTTGTCCCGAACCTAACGAGAAGCAGCCTTGCAGCAACGAAAACCAAACCGCGAGGCACCAAAAACTCAGCATTTCACTATAGAGAATACGTGAGACAAAATATGTGTTTTTCTTTGATACCATAATAACTAATAATAACTTGCAAATTTTGAAACCGCATCGACAATGTGAGATTTCTCGACCAAAAGGCGCAGATGTATCCGACGAATCCGAGATCTTGATTCATGCTACGAATTCGTCCATTGGTACTGTCAAGCAGTGCGAGTTGTGCGAACGCCTTCGCGCACGCGACACAGAAACCAAATGTCGCGCTTTGCGTGGTTGGGTGGATTGGCACAGCCTGAATGGTTGCCTGGCTGGTGGTGTTATTTTTCCATTTTTTTCCCAAACCTAATTGCTATACTATTTTGGAGTCCAGTTGAGATGAGATCCCAATTGACCAAGATATTTTTGGATATGTTGAAGCTACCAGCTAGTTTCAGAATATGTTGTGCCACTGACATTTTTTCAGAGTTTGCAACAAATCCACCAACTTTTTGCCGGACGATGTTCATCATCTTACAGCAATGTTTACATACCTTCTGCTAATCAGACGTGGCAATAAACAATATACCCTTTTAAATTTTTGGCTACCCCAAGTTTCAGAGTTTCAGGTCTGATCTCAGCTGATTCAGATGCTGACATTGGCTCAGATCATCTCAGATCCCCATTTTTCAAACAAATCAGATCAACATGATGCCAGCTGGGACAAGTTGAATCCCAATCCCTTGTGGCCACCTTCAGCGCCCTGGAGACGTCTCAAAAATGGATTAAAAATGGAAGACCCGTCTGAAAACACACATTTTTTCCATTCTGGCTGTTGAAATCTAGCCCATAATATTCCAATATATTCCATATATTTCCATAGAAGCTCTCCACCAGATCCCATCATGTCCTGATGCCAGAAAAAGTATCATACTCTATCATAAAAAATGTCATAGAACATTGCCATCTCCACAGAACTTTCTCTTTTTTTGGTCCGAAAAACTTTTTTTTCCAACAGAAATGGGAGGCACGATGATCCAGAAAAAAGGACCCAGATAAACCTCCACAGAGGCACTGTGAAATTATTCCGAGCCATCCGAGCCATGGCACCGGTGCCTTTTTGTGACACCTGGCCTTGGGTTGCAGCAACTGACTCAGTGTCCAGCATCTTGGGCTCGGAAAATGATTGCCCTCTGGTGTCATGCCTGTCATCCCCGAACTAACCATGGAGGTTTATAGCTGGGAAAATCGTCGAACTAATTAGCTGGTGGATTTTCCATTGACGTTTGATTACAGGAGGTTCCTATGCAAACACCAGATTGCGGTCTGGTCATCAAGACGCCTTTTTTTCCGGGGCTTTTTTTGCGATGTTTCGGCTGGGGCCGCTGGATGTTCCCCAACGAAGTTCCAGTCTTGCACAGCTCAAATTGAAAGGACTATAGTTAAATCATTAAGAACCCTGCATGTATCTAGGATATGACATCAAAACCATGGAATATACAGTTAGATTTTGATCGAATTTCCCCGGCCAATAATATATTATCTATACATGCCAGGTAGTGCCCATGGCTAGGGCAGAAATCAATGGCCTTCTGGGAAAGCTTTTGCGATGCAGAAGCAATGAAGTGTTGAAGTTGTGAGGTGCATCAATGCATGAGCAAAAGGTTGTTGAGATGCCAATGACATGACATGACAGAATCACTTTACAACTGAATGAATGAAGCAATGAACGGAAGAACCAATGAACCAATAAATCAAGGAATGATTTCAATGACTCAACGAAACAAGGAAGCAACAAAACAATGAATCAATGAAGCAATGTGAATGAATCAATAAATCGATGAACGAATCAATTTGCCAACTTTATCTTCCAAAAGTGCTCTGAGACCTCAGTTTTTTGGGATTTATGTGAAATCGAGCTCTCGCTACAGTCTCGTGCACATTTTGCCGACCTCATCTTACAAAAGTGCTCCGACGCTGACATTTTTTACATTTTCAACTGCAAATCGAGCTCTCACAGCCTGTGCATTTTTCGTCGATAACATGATGATGTGGTTGACATGATGGCGAGAATGCTGGCCATGACAATGGTCCGTAATTTGGAAGTTTTCCAACTAAATTTCCCTTGATAACTATATATATACATTTACATATATGCACCATTGAAGCCTTCTGAATCACGATTTGACTTGGATTGATTTGGAATCAACTGTCAACAGCCAGCTTCAGTAGGAATTCTATCCGTGAACCCCAGATTTGGAGAGCTTGTGGAAAATAATCGTCCAGATCCACCGACGGCACCCAGTTGACCTGGCTCAGGTTGTTTGATTTGCTGTCAGGACAGCAACTTGGCCTTTTTGAAACTACTTGAGATTTGTTTAATCATATTTTCCCCAACTGATAATGGTGGCCGGTTACCATCGGAATGATAGGATTTCCGGATTTAAGGTTTTGGCATACCCCCAGATTTTTGGGGTTTTGACGACCATTGAGGTATATTTTATCTCACCACTGATAAGGTCAGTCAAGCAGGGAACATGGGGTTGGAGTTTTTCACCATCTTCCAACCTGAGGGAAGAGGTTCCCAAGACTTGGGCGAAGTGGTTTTGTCTAAAGTAGGGCTACTGTGCACCCCAAACTTCATTGATCCAATCAAATGAATTCCCATCAGAATTACCAGTTGACGATATATCTTTTTATTGCCTCATTTCCAAAGATACCCATATTACATTTTGTTGGTGATATTCCGTCATATTACTACATGATGATTGGTATTATACCAATTATACCACCTTATTTCCGCATAAACGGTACATTCACCACGTCTTGCAGCTTAAATCGCTTTTGTATACTTTTCTTGGTACCCTCTGGTAATTTAACATAGCCATTGAAAATGACTATTTATAGTGGATTTTCCCATTAAAAATGGTGATTTTCCATAGTTATGTTAGTTTACCAGAGGGTACATCACATGTATTTTTTCGGCCAGAAAACGAGTTGAGGGCCGAGATATACCGCGGTGGGCTCCTGCGGCCACACGGAGGTGTGCTGGATTTGTGCTGTCAGGCGGCTTGCGGGCGGGTGATTTTTTTTATAGGGGGGTGCTTAGTAAATGGGTGATTGGGTGAAAAAATCATTAAAAAAACCAAGATTAATGGAACAAAAACTGACTAAGTGGGATGCACATCGAAGTACTGTGGGGTGCAGTTGAGGTTGATGGATATCAACATTGGAATTCAATCGCCCATAATTTGTGGTACATCATAAGGCCCCTATGATTGTATTAATTCACTTATAAGTGGAACTGCACTTCCAAGTATACGGGAGTTAGAACACCCCATTTTTTTCGGTCAATCCGGCGGGGATTCCACCATACGCAACAAATGCATTTGGGGGTTTATACAAAATATATATATATTATACACCACTCATTTATGACCATATAGGGCGTGGTTTTTCTGGTAATTATTAAAAAAAATGGTTTCAGAGGCAAGGTTTTCAAACATGTGCTGAATTTTGCAGTTTCTTTTTAATGTATAATCTTGTGCTAAAATGTTGCTGGTCAATCCATGATGTACAATATGACTATCTCTTTCTTTTAGGAGTTGCTATAAATGGTTGTGTACAAGATTTTACAAGCAAATCAAGTTGTCTATTCTTTATCATAGGATTTTCCTGTAAGCACCATGAAATGGAATTGTTGACAATATCTGGTTGATTGACCATAGATGGTGATTTGGAATATATATGTATTTGTATATGGTTGACAGGCGTCTGAGTTGGGCAGAATCTGGCTGACTGGTGGTGTTTTCACTTAATTACTGTGTTCCATTTCATTCAACTTTCATCTTAGCTCAAATATATAATGATCAACACTGATTACTAATAGGCTGAAACCACCGACCTCTTTGGGTTTCGCCACGTGATCATTTGAACAAAGACCTGTTTTGATTGGGGGCATTAGAGATTTTCCCAGTACGAATTCCTACTTGGAATGAGGGAACCCCCAACTGCAGGCACAATCCGTATTTCATGTCCATCAAAAGACCCGTTAAAAACGGATTTGCCAGGGAGCCTGTCTATGTCAAAGGTGGTCGTTGTGGCTTCAGCCACTGATTCTAAAAGATCCCAACATCTCCCAACTCAGACACCCCGAGAAATCCCGCTGGAATGTATTGGATTTCTTCTCTTGTTGGTGTCAGTTATTCATGGTACTTGTCATGCTGAACTGTCCCTGGGATCATCGTGCCCCAAAAAAAGCGATGCTGACCTGTTGGTATTGTCGTTCCACAGAATTTCATTTGACAGCAGATTCAACTTTAACTATTTAACTTGTATGACTTTTGGTCATGCTGCTGAGTTCTCCGCCTTCTCCACTGTTCAGGAAAGGTTTGTTTCCTGATTTTCAGATTTCCATGTGACAGTCATGCGGCCGTCGTTCAGGCTGCGGGCCATCGTGAAAGACTTTCGATGTCCTGTTCCTCGGCTGAGCCTCTTTGGAATTCGGAATGGCAGGTGAAGAAGGAAATCCAAGGAATGGTTCAGTCCCACAATCCACGACAAGGGCAGGAAACACAGAATTTTTGCCCATGATTCTTTGGAGGTGTTGTATTTCACTGAAAACCTGGCTTTGGAAGATGATATGGAAATTAGACTGGTCTCAGTCGGATTGAACACACATTAAAACATATTAAAACCTAATATGGAAGACGGATTCCATCCCAAAAGTCACCATAATAAATGGTAGGTTATCATGGGGTTTCCCACATTACAATTGATTCTATGTGAATTTTCGTTCATTCTAAGGCCCTCAGAGATCTCATGTTTTTCATTGACATGGCCAACTATCGGGCCTGCCATCCCAGTTCTCAAGGGATGTTGTGTTCACTTGGTGGAACTTCAAATTCCTGCTGCAGTTACCAAAACCTGTTTTTTGCCCCACCTGTCTGGCGAGGGTTGTTAGATTTTATGTCAGCCGGCCTCCACCTCCTCCTCCTCCTCCGCCGGACCTCAACTACCTCAACTGCAAGCTCGTGATCGCAGTGGTCCCCATCAGGGTGGTCTCTGAAGGCCCTCAACTGCAAGCTCGTGATCGCAGTGGTCCCTGCCGGACCCGAACAGCAAGCCCAGGATCAGAGTGGTCCATGCCGGACCCCAATTGCAAGCGCGAGACCGCAGTGGTCCCTGCCGGACCTCAATTGCAAGTGCTAGATCGCAGTGTTCCCCACCTGACCCGAACAGCAACCGCTGGATGAAAGTGACCCTAGCCGAGCCTCGACCACAGAGAATCTCCGAAGATAACTCAGATAGAATGCCAGAAAGAATGTCAGGAGATATGCCAGATACATATGCCAGATAGAATGGCATAAGATATGGCAGATGCATATGCCAGAAATAATGTTAGAAGATATGCCAGATACATATGCCAGAAAGAATGTCGGAAAAAATCCATAGAATGCCAGGAGGAAGAGGAGGAGAGGACAACTCTGATGAAATCTAGAGACCCAGCAAGTCTTGCCAGAAAAAGTGCAAGAATATATGCTAGATAGAATGCCAGATGGAATGTCAGAATGTATATACATATATATATATATATGTCAGAATGAATGTTTTTGGTGGGGATCACTTGAAGTAAGTAACTATGTTGTTTTTTACATCCTAGCAGCTGAATCCAAAGACCGCCTGACAGGTTTGCAAGGAGGAGCTGAACGAGATCTACTTGGGCAACGATCCCAACAAAGCGTTGAAGGCGCCTCATGTGGTAAACCTGCCATAAACTATCCCCAATGACTTACCATGGATGGTAAATAGTTGTAAACTTCAAATGGGAGTTATGGCTGGTTGGTGGTTTCAAAATGTTTCAAACATTTGTTATTTTCCATAGTATATATATGGGTTGTCATCCTTCCCATTGACGAACTCCATCATTTTTCAAGATGGTTATTGCACCACCAACCAGCATTGGTTCAATCCTTCATTTCCCCCTGCTCGCCGAATCACCAGGAGCTCAACAAAGGGCAGCCTCTCAAGGGTCCAAAGGAGCCCAAGTGCCGTGTCTGATCGGGAACCAGCGGGTCCCGGGTCCCATGATTTTGACGGAATTTCTCATCTGAATGGGGTATGAACATCCAGAACCGCCATCTAGTTTGATCCGAACTTGAGTTATATCAATTTATATCAGGTGTTCGAAAAACCACCAACCAAACAACTAAAACCTGATTTTGGATCATCCCAAACTCTATTTATTTCTCCGTGATACGATGTTTTCATGCTGATTTCGGGATCAATTTGGCCACTTGACTCAGGCTAGGCCTCGTTTTTGCTTCGGAGTCAGTCAAAGAGGACGTGGAAAGATTGCAACTTGACGGAGTGTCAAACTTGGGGTCCGTTTGACTCCAAGTGTATCCGGAATATGTGCTAACATGTTCTCGAACCTAGAAACACAAGATGAACGAAACATGGACAAAATCCATTCATAAGTCATAAACTCCCGTTCAACAGCCTATGAAATTCCGCTTCGACCTGCTGTGGGCCCCTTTGCATCCCATGGATTTTTTCGATGATTTTTGTGGGCCTCAATTTGAGCCACAACAATTCAATATGTTTAGACATGTTCAGATCTCTGTTGTGGAACTTCACTCATTTCGGATCTGGATAGTCTTTAATTTTCAATTTCTGTCATAGTAAAGCCCTGAATGTCCACAGTTTCTTCTTGCCACAGCTCGCTGGAGCTTTAGTTTTGGTTGAATTTCCGAGGTTTGATTACCGTTGCTGGCACCAACGATGCCTGCAGAACAAGGAATGCTTCCCCACCATTGAGGCCACTTGGTGATGACTTTAGCTAGCGCCCAAATGGCTATATGCAGATGTTGCTTGGACCTGGAAATTTGATGAAATTTGCGGATAAATCACAGATTTGGAGATATTATATATATAATATATAATATATATTATATATATATTATATATTATATATATATTATATACATATATATATATATGTGGTTGTGTCAGTTTGTCGAGATTGCCGTTTTCACGTACATTTTCTTTGCACAGACCAAGTTGAAACTAGTTGAAAAAGATACAGTTGCAAACGCAGTCCCATTGCAGTTCAAACATATTTACCCTCTGGTAATTTAACGTAACTATGGAAAATCACCATTTTTAAAGGGAAAATCCACTATTTCTATGGCCATTTTCAATAGCTATGTTAAAATTACCAGAGGGTAACAAGTGTAGCGCAGTCCCATCCAGATTCCATGGATCCTGGTTTTCGGTAAGTATCCCCTTCTGAACAGTGCTGCAGGACGGCGAATTGGCAGCAATGGAACCGGAAAATTCATTGACCACGAATTCTGTTGGCTTGGAAGTTGTCTTGTTTTTCTATCATTTGTTTTGGGGGGTTGCTGTGTAACTATACATATTATACATATATATATATATATAATGTGTGTATATATATATATATACAAACACGCATAACATAATATATATATATATATTCATGATATTCTTCCCCGAATTCTGCTGGGCTCTGAATTTCAGAGTCTCGACAGGCCCTCCAGAGACATTTGGAGACGGAGCACGGGCGGCAATTTTGCCCCACGTGTTTGCAAGGCCAGTGGTGGTGGGATTCGCGTTTTTCCTCCGAAGGGTCCCGGCATTTGATTTGGGGAACATCTACAGGAAAACCATGGAAAACCCAAAGACATTGGGCTTAAATTAACGTTACAGAAGCTTTCATGTAGATTTTCCCTCAAATGAATCCATTTTGGTTGGTGAAATCACCAATTTTGGTGGGTGACATCCCGCCCGCTCAGCATCTCCAGGTCGCAAGGTCTTTCTCTTTGAGCAGCTGCTCTACCAGCCGAACGACCTGAAACGCCACCACGACGACGGAGATCGCGCTTGCACGGTGGGTGCCGTGGTTTTTTGAAACAGGGTGCGGGTCTGGGGTGGGGGCTTGGGGCTTGGGGCTTGATGATGGATTTTTAAGAAAAATGATGTGGGTCAGTTCATATCTCTTGCTGAACAGTCGAGAGCGTTTTTTCTCACACTTCAGTCGCATATCCAGCAAGCCTTTAAGCGGGTGAGGTGTGCATGTTGGTGATGTTAGTCGATGGTAAGGCCGGTGCCGCCATTTCAAGCAATCCTTCCCCCGTCAAACACGCGCACACAGAAAACCCAGTGGAATATAGTGGGACTGCTGACATATTATAAATTGGAATCCCATGTGTCATCACTTTTCCCTTGCCCCTATGAATAAACCACCAAATACATCCAAATACGTGAGTGTAACTCCCCCCGGCCCAGCAAATGATAAATCACATCAGAAGGGCTTACCCGGTATACCCCTATGAATAAGCCACCTAAGCAAAAGTAGTGCATAGCTTAAATTCCCGTACCCTCTGGTAATCAAGCATGGCAATGGAAAATCACCCATTTATAGATGAATTTGCCATATTTTCAGGTAAACCTATAGTGGATTTCCCACCATGGGTTGATCCGAAACATCCTCGAATTCCTTCTCCCGCGGCTCTTTGCGGAAGACTCGAGGTCCGAGTCTTCCCCAATCGCCGCCCCATGCGAGATGCAACTTCTGCAAGCGGAGCTTCTACTCTGAGGAGGCAAGAAAAACCGTTTGGAAAACCAGAAAAGCCCCAAGATCCCATAAAAACCCATGGGATTGGATTCATCCTCTTGGTGGTTTCAAACATGATCAAAAGATGAGCATATTTTTTCAGAGGCTCACCCAGTGGATCCCCGTGGATCCCAAGACCTGGGGAAGGCACGGCTGAATCGGCAGAATCTGATGTTTTTTTTGGGGGTGAACTCTCCAGGTTTTTCACTAAAACATGGTGAAACCACTCTTGCTGGTGCACCCCCTGGTGGTTTGAAATCATCCCAGCTGGGATCATGATCCGTAGCGCCTCGGGGTACTAATCGAGAGTGTTTTTTCCGCCGTTTTAACAAACAAACCGGTGGTGAATCTGAATCGCTTGGATTTTCATGTGGTAAACCATGGTAAACCCAACAGTAAATCAGTAAATGCCCAGGAAAAACCCTGGTTTTTACCCAGCAGTAACTCCGGAGTAAGGGGGGCCATGGGATACAAAATCCTAGCCATAAAATGGGTCGCAAGGATCTACTGGAGCACATGCACACCAAGCACCAGCTCTGTGGCATTTGTACCTTGGACTGGTGACCCTGGTGGTATGTGATATCTGGCTGGTTGAAAGATATGCTGGTTGGTACTTTCAAGTTTTTTTTTTCGAAAACACCTATGTTTTTTCATGTTTTTTTCCATTTTCCCTCACTTCACAATCTTCACAGAGGTGATGATACGGATGATGTGGGATCATTATTCTTGTGGTCCGCAAGGAAGACAGAAAAGTCATGGACCCTGTTGTTCTGACTGCGTTTTACTGTTGGTGAGCACCCCTGGAATCCCAACTGATGGCCTATTGGCTTCCTACACCAGTTGTATCATATGACTATTCCAGAATTCACTAATTGAATGATATTTGAATGATATACAACTATAGGCTATAGTTGACTACAACAAGATAATACATAAGATATATACTATAAATGTCTATGTTAGATCATAAGTAATATAACAGAAACCTAACATTCATATTATTGAATGTTTTTTTTCATTTCCCCAGATGTCCCATGAAGAATCATTCACACATTGTGCCCGCTGGGGGTGTTCCTTCTGGCCCCTTGAACAGGTGATCAAAGATGATCGATGATCATTTTCCCAGATGAAAGAATTACCCTCTGGTTATGACTAACATAGCCATGGTATAGATGGCCCATAGAAATAGATGGTTTACCTATTAAAAATGGTGGATCTTTCCATGGCAAACTGTTAAATAACCAGAGGGTACTATACGTTGGAGTTTCTTTTTTCCCCCCCTTTTCAGAGAAAGCCAAAATCACCGAAATCTGTCGGGTACCAGCATTATATCCAGTTGGTTAGATATGTTAGATCCTCATTCCCCCAACTAACCTAACGCTTCCAGCGAACCAAGGCGAAAGACAAGGCCGAAAAGGCGAGTTCTACCAGGATTACGGGTACCTCTCGGTGCACTACGAGGCGTTTGGTCGAACGTTCTGTTTGGATCTCCGGTTGTTACCACCATCCAGGTGTAAAAAAAGATCGTTCTGTGGGCAACTGGAAGGTTATGTTCAATATCATGTACAGTATTTAACATACAGCTGGTGTTGTAGTTTACATTAGGTCAGGACTCGACGATGTTTTGCTTTAGATTGTCAAGTCATGTGAGCGGCAACATTCTTGAACTACATCTTCAACAGATCCTCAGTTCAAAACATCGTTCTGTTTTACAGGGTTCCTCCAACCCATTTGTAGGTAAGTTATAGCATGTTATAGCCAGAAGTGGAGAAAGTTGGTATTTGGATGTATTTGGTCATTCTAATGTGCCTTTTCATCCTTTTTCTCTAGTCATTTCCACCCCTGAAACGTCTCTGGGTTGGGAGTTGCGTCCCAGGAGGAGCACTATGTGTGTCGGCATGAGAATTGTCGACGCGAAGCGTATCGATTAGTGGCCTTCGCCAACGAAGACGACTTGTGGATGCACGAAATCAAGGAGTGGCCGAGTGGCCTTGGATGTGATCAAATTCTTACATCCTCAATGTGTGTGAAATACTTAGCATAGTTTCGCTTGGACTCCAACATGGATGTATACGTATAATTATTCATCAATCATACAAACTATATGTATATACATATATATATATAATGTATATACATACACATACATAGATACATCTTATCATTTTTGGCTTCAGAAGTTCTCATTCCTGCTCAGAAATAAGCTATCTTCTTGTGTCGCTGATAGGAACACGAACCCCCTTAGTCCGCAGGAGCACTCCACCAAGCTGTCCCAAAAAGCATCGAAAAGAGGCACGGCGTGAATGGAGGGAGTGGTTAGGAGCCATGGTATGCCGTGGTTCTATCCATATTCCACCCCAAAAACGGGGAGCCCTTTGGAGCTACGCATTCCGTTTCCCAATTACTGTACATGATAGAAGGTCGAAATCAAGACATATTTTTGCTTCGATTACTTCTTTACTGTTGGATGAAAGAAATCACCTATTCGAGGATTTTTCTTTTGGGTGATTTAGCACATGAAGGGTAGGTGATCGTCATTTCCATTCCAAGTGCTGTGAGTTTGTGATTTTGAACGACTTGTCTTCCGAATGTTCTACCAACTTTTTATCATATTTCATCATCAGACAGGTAAAGAAGATCTGATGAAAAGTTGGTAAAGTATTGGGAAGTAGACTTTTCTTCATCATGTTCCATTCCACTTCATCATCTGAATATTTCATCATCAGATTTTTGTTCTTTCCTTGGGAAGTTATTATCGTTGAGGCTTCCTGTTGTGCTTCATGGGACACGGGACGTTCATCGTTGACCCCGCAACAGCCACTTCTTGGCTTAGCACAAGGATGGACGTTCTTCGATGTTCTTCGTCCTTGTGTTTTGGTTGAATCTCCAATTTAGGTATGGCTACATATTGCTGCACCCCCAAATCAAGGGTCTGATCTCCCCCAAAAAACTACTGAACATGTCATGGAACATTCCTAAACATACTAAACTTATAATCAAAATACCATCAACCATGAGAACCTATGGGTTGTCATGGATTTTACCATTAGAAATGGGGGGTTCCTGCAACTTTCCCGTAAACCCCAGAAGGGGGTCCATTGGTAACGCCATGACCTGACCAGGCACGCGACTTGCCATGGGTGCTACCTCCTACCGGGAGGCCGATTTCTCCGGAGATTGAAGATTTAAGCAGCAAAAATGGGAAGTGTGACCCTTTGGTAGTCCTACTGTGGATGGTTGCGAAATCCTGCACCAGTTGATAGATGGTTTATCCCATTATTTGTAGGGTTTTAACCATCCAAGCTGGTGCAGGATTTCTTCCATCCACAGTGGTTTGCAACAGAGGCCATATTTCATCCTCTGAAATGTAGGCCTTTTTGATTGCCATTTTTTGCACAGGGAGGGTCATCGGTGCTGAGGAGTAGCTTGGTTCATCTTGGTTCACAATGGTCACGCTGCAAATTTCAGGGCTTGAAACTTGTAACACAAACACCCGTAGAATCTGTGGTAAACCCAATGCCATAAACCATCCGATTAGCCAACCAGTTGGGCGTCATTTTACATCTGAGATAAGTGAGGGATAGGTTATTATTGGGTTTACCATAGAATACGGATATACCCAATAATAAAACATCATAAACCTCAAAGATGGGGATGGTTTATGGCCTTGGGCGGATCCCAACTTGGTCGATCGGGAAGGTGCAAGCCGAAGCCCGCGAAGCCCGGCGGAACACCCAGCGGACCCAGCGTTCCACAGCCACCTTGGAGGCGCCTCCGCCACGTCAGTGACATTGCCATCCCCATGGAATTCACTGGCGATGTTTTTGTCATGAAATGCATGGGTTTCCCCTCAATTTGAAATCTTCAGCATATCATAGCATATCACATGTTCTTGGTTATAATGTTCTATATAATTCTCATGAATATCCCATGAATATCCCCGAAACCATCTCCATCTTTGAGGTTTATTATTGGGTGTACTCCTGTTTGAGATTACAAGGTGATGCCTATCAGTTGTAAGTTGCTTTAGAATCCCCACTAACTAGCACTAACAATACCTATATGCCCCAGAAACCATAGAGAACCAAGTTACCAGTCAACTTGGTGATCTAGGGAAATAAAGACCAAACCTTGGGGGTTGACTATGCACCCAGGCGGTCACGGGGCAGGTGCGCTTCATGCGCACCCGCGGGCAACCGCCGGCCCCACCGGAGAGCGACTGGCCGAAGCTTCAGGATGGGCCATGCCGGTAGGCAATGATGAGCTGATTGTTTTAGGGAGATTTAACCATCAAAACATATCAAAACTATATGGATTTACCCATGGAAAATGGGTATTTATGGGATTTAACCAATCAACGTCAGATACCTCATGGGGCTAAATGATAAGGAATGTATGGCATGGGGGAGATTTAAGCCTTCGTCATAGGGGATTGAACCAACTGTTGGTTCATGATACGGGGATTTCATACTCATTTACCAGGGTTACTCCAACCCATTATATATATATATATATCCCTAGATGGTAGCCGGGAAAATTGGTCATTCCTTGTACTTGTTGACTGGGTATGGCACGGGGTTAATGCTCCCTACCTTACTTGGGGGATGAGGACCTTACAACGGGATACCTATCAACCAACCAGCAACCAGTAGCATTGGGATGGGATGGATTGGAAGACAGGGTTTCAACATGCAAAGGTACCCGTGTTTGAAACGAACCCGATTATCAGTTTCCGGGTGGATCAATGTGGCCTCCCAACGATTTTAAGCCACTGAGCAGGAAGAAAGCGGAAGTAGTGGCAGTCAAGTCGATCAAGCCAGGCTGGAATGCTCAAACTTGCCTCACCATGAAAAAACATACAACAAACAGTTGAACATGGCTGGAATTTTCCGATTGGACATGTTGGATTTCCAGGGATTTCCACGATTGCTTCAGGTTTAAGATGTTTAAGTAACACCCGGACCTACGTGTCTTGATTCTTTTGAACGGACCTCTTCCCAGCTCAAAAAACTTGACTCAATGAAGGTTCAGGAATTCTGGTGGATCAGTGTTCCTGGCTCCTAAAATGAGATCAACATAAGTACTATAAAGGGATTCTCAATCCACATGATTTGAAAATGGTCTCCGCCTTCAGCCCAGCCTCTGAATTTTCCAGCATGTCTTGTTTCCTAAGATGCCAAGTTCCCATCATCCCAAGCGATCCACCGCAGGTATCCACCCCGTGCCGTCAAACAGCAAGAGCGCCGCGCCACAGCCCTGGCCGCGGCCCCGGCGGGCCCCGCGGGCCCTGCAACCGCCACGCCGGCCGCGTCCTCGCGACCATCGCGGGATCCCGTGCGAGAGCAGCACAGGGCGCTGGCGCAACTGCTGGCAGTGGCGGTGCAGAGAATTGATCAGAAGCTTGACCAATAAATGGGGATACAAGAAAAGTAATACTGTAGCAGAATAATGGGGACAATATGGCGAGATAATTACTAGATCTACTTGTAAAACCTGACCAATCATGGGGACTAAGGAGGATGATATGGGATATCATGGGATATCTAACCAACCTGATGAAATTGACCAATTTAAGTTGATGGTCATGGCCCGGGATAATCCCCATTGACTGCCGTTTGGAGATAAAAAACCCAGTCACCAATTGGGACAAAGCTCAACTGGCGAATTTGGGAAGCCAGTGGCTAAGGAACTGGATGCAAGAAGTATATTGATTTATAGTAACCCGATTCAATCACAACTGTCCACCAATGTCCACCATATTTGTTTCTGCGCAATTTAGAGCGAGCCCAGACGAGGTACGAGGTAGACTTAGCAAATTAACGAGGCGATTTAACTAATTCACTTTCTACGAGGTGAGGCTATTTGCTTACCTTTTGAGTGGGGAATGGCCAGAAAAACTTTTCAGAAGCTGAACAAGTTTTTTCTGGTTGTCTTGTCGCAGTGGCAATGCTTCTTTCAAGTCTGGTGGAGAAAAAACTGTTCAGCCTGCGAAAAGTTTTTTCTTGCTGTGGCCCCACAGCATTTGGCTGAGGGTTAGGGTGGCTCAATGCGCCATGGCTTTGCGAGTGATGGTGCAGTCACACTTGGGATGGCCATAGGAGTGCCACAAGTCACCTGATACTTCCTTTGGCACCATTCTTGACGAGTATGCGTTGCAAGATGGATGGCACCCTTCCTGCTACCGTCACCCTTCCCCACCAAGGACTGGCATTGACCTCGTGGCTGCTTTGGAGCAAGAGGCATGTCATGGATTTCAGTGGTAGAATATTGAGGAAACCATGTCATGGTCTTTTCTGAATAGAAATTGGATCCTCAAACACCTGTGAACAGGTCATCAACCCATTTATCTGGCATTAAAACCGTGGGCATGGGTCATAGATTGGGTAATTGTACCCAAAATTGGACACTTCCATTTGTATCCTACTCAAAACGACCTATCTATATACCCCCCATGCGCTTCATATAAAAAATCTTCAAACTTTGACCCATACCCATACATTTCTAATTTGTTCAAGATATGTTTATATTTTACCGTTGGTTAATCCACACCATTTGGGGAATCTACTTAAATTTTATTTGTTATGCTAGGGGAAGAAATTCTAATCCAATCCTTTCCCCGTTGGTAGGAATGGCGTGCCAAGAATCGTCGCTTCAAACGAGACCTGGAAGAACAGCTGGGTCCCACAGAGCTTCAGCACTTCAAGGAGCCCGCCATGCGGGAAGAAGGTATATACATCTTTTTTGCTCGGCCACCCACCTTCACAAATCCAGTCAACTGCTGGGTACCCTGCTAAAATGCTTTACCATCCCTGTAACTAACATAGACCCTGAGAATTGGACGGGTCGCAAATTCGCTTCCTATCCCCTTGTCACTTGGGATATGGCGGGATCATATATTTCCTGCATCCTTTCGTAGCTGGAGGTGCAGGGTGAAACCATTTCTTGGTTGAAGGAATGATACTACTGGAATGGTATTGTGATCCCTGATTGTGTCAATAGATTGTCAATATATATTCCAGCTAGGTTTCAATATTTGCTGGAATTGTGATCCTATTGAATCCTATTGACGAAGTTTGATATTCTTGTTTTTTTTTGGGATACTACATTCCCCCAACAGCTCAACCACCAGCCAGATAGTGCTAGGGCTACAGTGCGAGTTGGATGATGGTCCAAGTTGATCATCTTCTTTGCTCCCAGCTTGTTACAGTCAATGGATTGCTTTAGGGGAAAATTTTCACCGGAAAAGCCCATTAATTTCATGGTAAAAACCCATGGGTTTCCGGTTAAAATTTTCCCGAACAAACCAATCCAGCTTGCTACAGGAGTTTTCCATGCAGTATCGCTACAACCTACGTGATGCCGAAACATCTGCTGGCCAAACTGGCTCTGCCGCCGCGGCCACGTACGCACAAAGGACAGAAATGTCCACGTCCAGGGTGTTTGCCAAATGGCTATGGATCAATACCTATGGCTATGGAAAACCTTATGGAAAACCCTATGGAAAACCCCCATTCCATCATATTCCATCCCAGAATCATCACAGTTTCCCATCTGGTTATGGATCAATACCTATGAAAATACCATTTTTAGTGGGATGAACATCCATAAATCCCAGCTATTTTGATGTGAACAGAAGGGGTACCAGGGTTTTGACACATCCCCATATGGCTGTGTCTTCGAATGGAGGAAACGCCCAATTTTTGGCAATTCTTCATGCAAAATGTGGTGATGAACCAGTGGATTTCGGGTACCATTTTCAGACAAATCCTTTGAAAACAAAACGAGATCACCGGTAATTTAAGGGAACCTGGTAACAGTTGCTCTGTAGAACAAATATCTTGCATGTTTGGTGAGACACTTGTAGGTACTATGTATATATTATATATATAATTATATTATATATATGGAGATCTACAGGTATTCAATCACAACTGCAATCCTGGATGCGTAAGCACCAGTCGATTGATATGCAAAGGGATATGAAAGAGCTTGATATGTTCAATGAATTTGCCCCAAGGAATCAAACCTCCATCAAAAAATGTGTATCAAAGCCCCCCATGTTTGGTAAATCTCCAGTTTCGTTGAAACTTCACGTTTTTGCTGATTGTATAAACCACAGTCCCCAAAATGGAAAAGTTGGACACCTGGAAACGATGAGGCAAAGATCGCATCCGGATGTTTTTGAACTTGCCACGAATTGAATGGGTCGAAGGGAACATTTCAAGGACCCCCGCGATACCTGGGATAAAAAAAACATTAGATCCCTGCATTTTTTCTTCAACTCATAGAACCACAATATACCACAATTTTTGATGGGTAAAAGCGCCTTTTTTTTGCAGGGTGGCAAGTACAACCGTAGGTCTTTTTTAGCACCTGCCGCTGCAGGGTCATGGAGGTCTTTGCGACAACCATGGCGAAGTCAGGCATCAAACAGCGGGATGGGGATGCTTGGGCAATTTTGTGTGTTTCAAGCACGAAAAATACGGCTCTTAGTTGGGAACTATGGGATTTAGGCAGCAACATTGGGCAACTTGTTCATCAATACGTTTTTGAGGGAAATCCAGAAGGACTGCAGTTTCATGGGGAAACTGCACACGGTTTTATCAAAATGTGCCTTGACACGCAGAATTTGATACATAGAACAACCATAGGAACCTAATATTTGACTGTCATAACCAAGGTCTCATGATCTCATGTAAATACTGTTTTCAAATTCAATGGCAATTCTGCACAGGGATTTAAGCAACAAGTAATGGATGATATAGCCAAAAACAATCGGATTAAAGCAACACACGTGTAGATGTATATTGGCAGATACCCAGTGATATCTGCCGTTTTTTCTTGCACGTGGCCTCATTGATCCAAGGAGAATTCCTTTTGAGTTGACTGAAATTGTAGCTGAGCTGTTTCAGATCATCACGTCGCTAATATGTGTAGTCTTGGAAATAGGGATCCGAAATCCGAAATCAGTTAGTTTCATTTTTTTTTTAAAAAGTTAAGTGGGGTAGTCCATTGATGTCCCCAGAACCGTATGGCTTCTGTAGTCCTGGTTCAATGGTGTATCACCGAGTTTTCCCCATGAACACTGCCACTAATATTGGGGATAAATCCATCATTTTATGGAAAAACCTCCAAAACATATATTAGTTTAAACATATTATTACCATCAATGTTACCATGAAGAATGCTGGTTGTTAATGCTAATAATTACCCTGGTAAAACATTTATGGTTGACATCCCCTTTGTATTACCACGAAAAAATGATAGTTATAATGCCCGTACCAAAGGAGGATCATCTCATACAGTAACAATAGAACAACTTGGACTAAATCGCTATGTTTAATGGTCAAATCACCAATCCCAAAGTCCGAATTCTGCTGTAACTATAGATGCTATAGATATAGTTGGTTTATAAACGACATCAAATATGTACGTACATGTATATACATATATATATATACACATAATTTGCTATAATGATCATATATATATATATAGGACGCATTGTACATATATGCCATAAACATCCATAAACCTAATATCGTTTCCACTACGAAATAACGGTTCAGGTGAAGCAGTGGCTGCGGAGCTCTTGTGTGACCTGGTGCTGTTGCTACCTGACGAGGCCTTGCTTGGGGAATGGTGGTCAGCCCAAAAAAGGAAAATGGAACCTAAAAATGGATCAGTAATTCCATTCCCGAGATATATGATATATATATATTCATAAATATATATATATATCCATTAAATTGGATTACTATGAACATATGTTTTTATTCAATTAAGTTGATGTCTGCAAAAATCGACGAAACATACTATTATAGATTCTGCTGACCAAATGTAGGGGTATCCGACCAAAATGGATGTGACTCGTCAAAAAAATGGGCTCTGCGACCTCAAAAAAACCCTAAAAAGACCCATCGATGGTGGAAGTATTGCCAAGGGTCATGTTACAGGGGATCTCATCAACAACAGTGGGATATATAATTATATATATTACCCATAGGATCCATGTATGGTATATATGCTAACATTTGGGGTATATTGATGGTAAATGTTACCATATATAGCATACATGGATCCTATGGGTTATATATATATATATGTATGTACATAGTAATGGGATGCAATGGGATGTAATGGGAATACGGGTATATAATGATTATATAATGGGTATAAATTCATGGCTATATACCCTCTGGTAAACTAACATAGCTATGGAAAATCACCATTTTCAATGGGAAAATCCACTATTTCTATGGCCACTTTCAATAGCTATGTTAGTTTACCAGAGGGTATATATATATAGAGAGAGAGAGAGAGTGGGACGCCACCAGGTCCCCAAAAATACGTGGTTTTAAGCGTTTTTTTGACTATTTTATGTTTTTTTTCCTCTTTTGATATATGAACATAAAGGATTGAACATGATGTAGCAAAAACACTGCATTTCCAGAAACGTGGAAAAATGGGGACCTGACAGCGTCCCTTTCTGGATATATATATATATAAAGCCAACAATATGACAGTCATGGGTTGTGGTCATCCCATGTCATGGGAATCACTGAACCCCGGTCTCAACGAGGCACCCAGACACCTCCTCTACCAAGCCCTAGACGACCTGAGCCGCCGCGAAGCCGCCGCCGCGGCGCCGCCTGCCGCGCCTGCAACCACGGCGACAGCGAAGGCTCCGCCGGCGGCGAAGGCCGCGCCGAAGGCGGCGCAGGCGAAGGCTCGTTCGGCGGCGAAGGCTCCGGTGCTGTCCCGGCAACTGGAGGAGACGTTGGAAGCCATGCCCATGAGCCGCTCATGCAGAGGAGTCCTTGGCAAAAGTGGAAGTGCTACTGGATTTTAGGGTACTGCATGGTACTGCATTTTCGGAAAAAACAATATAGATATTTCTTGGAAAAATGCAGGTGAAGAAGAAGACAACAAAGTAAACTTAGGTATATAGAAATTCTGCTAGATCTATATAGGTGAAAAATCACATGGAAAACTGATGAGGGGAAAGGGACTGGATAGTCAGTGGTACGCATTTCAGTTTCATGATGATGGGGTACAGGCTGAAACAATTTGAAACATATCAATCTGCATAAACTGGCCGATACCTGCACTGAGTATAATCATCTACGACTAAGACAAATGTGACATTCATTGACTATGTTGTTTTCTTTACAGTTCCCATATACCACGTACAGATATTTCTTAGGGACCTTTCCCCTAATTGAATGTGACAGTCGTTTTCTTGCATCCTAGACGTCCTAAGTTGATCGTGCAGTCTCTTAAAGATGAGAGGATCAACTCCGCTGGGTGATATCCCAGGGTCCATTGAAAAAGTATGCTTGGGTTGCAATACCAGATGCTACTGCAACCATTGATCCAACCTTCCTGATTCCATACACATGTCATTTTTATCCTACTCTCTGGTAAATTAATATAGACCCTGGCAGATAGGGGTTGGAAGACTAGTTTCTATTAAAAATTGGTGATTTTCAGGGTCTATGTTTATTTACCAGAGGGTAAATATGCTATGAACTACACCCAGTACTATCACCCGCTACTATCACTGGATCAGGATGTCACTGGTGACCCGGCTCGCCTTCGGCGCCAAGGAGGCCGTCTAAGCTTCCTTTCAGCGCTCAACGCAGTGATGGATGTAATGAGTGCTGGAACTGGAACTGCCCCGGTGCCTTTGCAGGCGCCAAAAACGGGCGGAAAGCCAACATGGAACGGCCGATTTTTTTATCCAACAATATAACTCATTGGTGGTTTGGAACATGAATTTTATGACTTTCCATAGATTGGGAGTAATCATCCCAACTGACGAACTCATATTTTTCAGAGGGGTAGGTATACCACCAACCAGTAATGGTTTAATGATACTCACAACATATCAACTGGTTTAGCCGGGATCATTGTAATCCCATCGCATGGTTGACCAAAATGTCCTTTTTTTCCCATAGTAAGTTTCGCAGGGGAATTTACATGATTTGACGGAACTTCGATATTTGTGACATTTTGTGACAACAGAATCCACTAGAACTCCCGCTCGAACTCCGCAAACAGCTGAAGGGGAATACCATAAGGTCTCTCTCGCTTGGACGCATGTTTGACGGTGGTGTTTGACCGTTCCATCATGTGATCTCAAATCAAGTTGTACCATATCAAGTTCGTCGTAGTAAAGCAATACTGTAGGATCCACCATCCCCAAGCTTTACCATTTTTACCATCAAAATATTTGTAGTTTATGGGTTTGCTTTACTAACATAGTTTCAAGGAATTTTACATATCCCGGTCCCAGTCAGAAACCGGTATTTTACGACTCATCCCATCGATGGTCCCAGGCCTTACGCAGATGTGTGAAGCAACTGGATGGACAACAGGCCGAAAATGATGTGGATATAGTAGGAATATAGGGATTATAACCAACCACAATGGAGACATCGTGGGGATATCATGGTGCTCATAGATTCATAGGATATTTCTTGAATTCCTGAGTTTGCTTAAGATATCTAAAGATGATGTTTTATTTTCACAATGAGAAATCCACTACTTGGGTAATCTATAGAGAATATATATATATAAGTAAATACATATATATATAAATAAATAAATACATACATATATATATATATAATACATATTTTTGGGAGGTTCCTTCACTAAATTGGGTATCCCAAAATCATCCAAGCTTGTTCATTTTTCAGTGGGGAAAGCAATAGTTATTGTTGGGGTACCTAAGTTTTGGGAAGCACCCAAATCGGGGAAACTGAAGGTAAGTTTTGCAATCAAACAAAACACTTGATGAGCTTAAATGGGTGACGCTAGAACAACATGTGTCCAGCCTGATGGATTCTAAACTCTTTGCATTTGACCAGTTTCATTGACATAACACTAATTACTGAAGAGCTGAGGTGTGTTCAAAACCACCGGAATCTAAAATCATCGGCCAGATATATTCACAAATCAATATCCCATGATTATTCCATGCCCATTCATATCCCATCTTTTTCTATGTCCAAACTAGGTCAGGCTACAGAACATCCGCCCCTAGGGTAGCCTCTGGTAAACTGTTACAAAAAACTATGGAAAATCCCCCATTTTTCATGGGAAAATCCACTATTTCTATGGCCATTTCCAATAGCTATTTTGACATAACCAGAGGGTAGCGTGGAACTGTAGGCGGAATCCTTGGAACTGATGCACCAGCATTTGGTGGATGCTGGTGGAAGCACCTTGGACTTTGAACCCATGGATCGCGCCTTGGACGAAGACTAGCGCCGTTGAAACTGGTGCTTTTTACGTAACTAGGGAATGGGGGAATGATAACAATTAATACATATCATCTGGGAGAATTATAACGACCTCACTGTTCTCCCGAGCCCTGGAATCATGGTTAGTAAGGGAAATCATCCCCAAATGGCCGAACAATTCAGGTTAGTGAAATATTATAATTTACCCAGATATAATATCATATAATAACAATGAATAACTATTAACATCTATGAACTTATTGATCCCTTTCCCTCATTCCCTACGTTTAGCACCAGTAAATTTTTGTGTGTGAAAATGTTGTCGTTGCTCAGTCAGTTGTTGATATAATATATATATATAATACTTATACTACAGTATATATATATATCTCTTTAGTTGGCTACGAAAATAATGGATTTTCATAGGTTTTTCTTGGTTATGACAGGTGGGCTCTGTTGGAGGTGCTTTTTGGCATTGTATCTAAGATTAGTCATGTTGAAGGGCGGAGATAGGGTCAGAGGCTTCACCAGAAGTTGGCCAGCTTCCAGTGTTTTTTTTTCCACCCCTAATTGCAGTTTCTTTCTGGGTTGAAGCCCGCAATATTTTTGGCTTCAGCGTTGCATTTTTGAGCTTGAATGGTGAATCATGGTGCTCAAGAGTCCCCAGCTGTTGCTGGATTTCACAAGCTAAGCTGGGCCAAAAATCTTCTCCCAGCCCTGTGGTTCCGTGGTTCCTCTCTGGCAGGTCTGTTGTCGCTGCGTCCTTTGCTCCAACTGAAGTTGGGCTCTGCTAGCGGCAGCTCCGGCGCCGACCGCGACCGTAGCTGGTGGGAGTGGAAGGAAGCAGCAGCCGCCGCGGTGCAACGCATGGGAGTTGAGGAGCGCGGAGGGGATGGCAATGGCAATAGCTGTGGGCCATTTTACAGGGGATTGAAGCATCAATGCCAATCTAACCCAGCGGAAATGGAAGTTAACCAAGAAAAACCGGGTTTGACACATGAAACATTGCATCATCAAAATGTTGCTTTCAACCACCAAACATGGAGGATACAATCGATGTAATTATGATCAAACTCGCAACGTTCCATCCATTCCATTTTGGGTCTGAGAAACCCAGAGCGCCAGGATGAAAATCAAGCATTCCCCGATCCTTAGTGGGTGGTCATGTTTGGAAGCCACTCAGCCGCAGGAGAGGAAAGCTGTGCAGCTCTACGTCTCATTAGCCTCGAAGCACTTGGAGGAGTCAGGCAGCTTGCGTGGGGGGTGGGGGGATGAGGCTGATCATCGTAGACTTCGTCTTGGTTCAAGTGAAATCGACGGAAGACAATACAAGAGTTTCATCAGAAAAAAAACACATCATTGTTTCATTACTTCATGTTCCATTGAAATTGTCTCTTACTGTACCTCCGGAATTGGTTTGACCGGAAAGAACAGTATAAAACATACGATTTCCCAAATGCCCCTGAGATTAATCCATTAGGAATGCCTAGTTGACCCCTGTTGGTCAACCCACAAAGCTTTTGGAATTTGAAGGGTTCTGTAGTACGAAATGGCAGATATTTTTCCAAGCACTTAGATGGGCGAGTTGGTAAACTGATTCGGAAGTGGGTTATAAGCCAGTAAGGGGTATATAAGACGTATGTGGATATATATACAGATATACATGTTATGATATAAATACATAGCTCTTTGTATTTTCATGACCAGCTCTGTATATGAAATACCCCCGCTTCTAACAAATAAGCTGACCCAGCCACCAAGATACTGGTCCTATATCCCCTGTAATTACCAACCAACCAACCAACCAACCAACCAACCAACCAACCAACGAACCAACCAACCCACCAACCAAACCAAACAAATAAACCAACCAACCTGTTAAAGTTATAACGTAATATCTTGTCCAGTTGCGCCCATAGCCAGGCGCGGGATATCCAGCGAAAGCTCCACCCTTAGCTCCAGCCTGGGAAAAGAGGAGATCTGAAAGCAAGGGGGAAGTTCATTGGGTTTCGGGAAAATTTCCAGGAATTCTCTGGACATCCGTTGATTTTTTTTATGTTTCTCCATTATTTTTTTTGTGTTTGTTGATGTATTTTTCCCTTGGGATCCCTTCGGAGGTATTTTTCTGCAAACCTTAAATCAGAGATAAGCCAAAGGTTGGGTGCTTAGAGACCATTTAGAGACCATATTCGTATGGTATCAACTATCATATTCGTATGGGGATATCATCAACCCATGAAATCTGTGGGGTTCAACTTAAAACTGCGGATTCACGGGACGATCCATTGACCCGGTAAGTGCTGAAGTTGTTCAGTCCCTGGTGGTTCCTACTTTTTTGAGCTTAACAGGCCCTACGGCCTGTAAGTCCACAAAATGATTGACCCATCAAGAATTCCCTTCGATTCTGCCCCTTATTCATAAGGGGCCTTTTTTCTGCGCGATGCATCGTTTTGGGGGTTTGAACAAAGAACAGATTGGTGGATTCAAATCATCGAATCCCAAATTGATGGCCGAATTTGTTCAGGCTCAAATGATCCCCATTTTTCCCATGAGGATATTGATTGAGGGATCCCAAATTGACAATAAATTGACCATCCCATCCCCGCAAAAACGGACGCAGGAAGCAGCCCAGCCATCGGAACGAGGACTTCCCGGCGTTGCCGTTCGGAGCCTGTGTTTTCGGCCATGACTCAGTCATGATATGATGTGAATGTGTGAGAAATGGGGTACCCTCTGGTTATGACTAACAGTTTGCCATGGAAAGATCCACCATGCTATTAATAGGTAAACCCAGGTAAACCATCTATAAATGGGCCATTTTCCATGGCTATGTGAAATAACCAGAGGGTATATACCCTTGGTTTTGCCACAATAGTTTTCCAATTGATAAGAAAACTTGGCCACTGTGAGTTCGTGGACACCTCCCGGCTTTGAACCGCAACGAAGCCCAGGTCGGGACAACGATGAGGCAACGACCGGTCGAAGGCTTTTTATAAGGAAATCGTAGGATCACATGGTGATTTGATGGTGATTTAGCAGTGATACAATCAACAAGCTACAAAGTTTTTTTTTTTTTTTATGGTGATATAATGGTGATATGACCATGGTTTCTCTTATGGAAATGGAGATAAATTGATATAAATTGGGACTTTCTTTTCCTGAAATTCCTTTAGGCAATTCTGGGACTGTTTTCTGGGCCATAGCTTGTAGCGAAACAGTGCCCCGCAACTTAGGGACCATGGTCAGGCCTCAACCAGGGAGAATTCCATGGACATTTTTGGAGAATCGACATCCACAACTCTCAGCGATTTTAATGTGAGCAAAAATGTAAGGATGCCACTGGGTAACAGGCTTTTTTGACAATCCTTAGACCATTAAGACACATTGACTACGGCATGAAAGAGACCCTCTTGTGTCGCGAAAAAAGTAGAGTCAAGGGATTATTCAGATTGGATAATTAATTGATGATAATTGGCTGGCCTAGAATTTACATAGAAGTGAGAAGAAGTTTGGGTTGAAAGAGGCATGTGAAATCATCTGACTATTTCGATGGTCCCACTGGAGTACACCCCTGTTGTGTTTGATTGGGGGCCATGGCCATGGTGTAAAACCGGCTGTCACACGTCCGCGTCCAAGAGAAGGGCGCCCAGATGCGCCCAGTTATCGCATGCATTTTCCATCCCTACTGGGATGTTCTCACTTTCCATCCCTAATCCATCATCTGGTTGATCGTGGTTTGGAACATTTTTCTGTCCCATTTTTTTTTTGGGAAGTTCATCATCCCAACTGACGAACTCGTATTTTTCAGGGTAGGGCTCAACCACCATCCAGTCATTGTCCCATCATTTTCACATCATTTCCCATTTGGGATGACCTCCATCCCCCCTTTGTTGACGCGTCAGGCGATGGTCGGTGCCCGGACCCGCGTCTGCGCTGCGTCACTTAAAGTGAGCGGCGGCGGTTCGGTGGTGACTTCCAGCCCGGGGTTCCACGAAGCGTGGAAAGAGCTATAGAAATGGAAGATGTCATGCGAAAATCATCGAAATTTTACATCCCATAGGATCCATGTATGGTATATATGCTAACATAAAGGGGGTATATTGATGGTAAATGTTACCATATATAGCATACATGGATCCTATGGGCATTGGATTTACTGTACCATTGCCATCTTTGATTAAAAACTTATACCCCGATGCCGCTGCCCCCCAAAAATGGCTGACTGTTGATCCAAACGTCTCATAGTTACGGGTTGTACATGCAGAAATTCTCTCATGTGGTACCAGCAAGTACCAGCAGGATTCTGCACTTTGGCCTCTCGGACAAATTGAAGGAGCCACAGATGTGGGAGCACCTTTTTATCTGATTAGTATGAAAGTATGAACAAAGAAAAACATCCCCATCCGATGTTTAAACATCGCATGTTTGATTGCCAAATCCCTAACTTGGACCCAAATCTAAGAATCTAAGAGGAGTAGCGTGGCATCCCCGATGGAATGAGACCACTTTGAGCCGCAGAAGTTTTCTTGGCTGCCTGGGATCCTGCGGGGCCCGCGGGGAAGTGCCGGTTATGTCACAATTGTCACACCGCCCGGACGCAACTGTGGTTGGTCCAGGGAAAGATGGGACAGGTGTGAAAGATGTCGCCATGAAAAGGCAGAGATGATGCCAGGGTGTTTTGAGAGTGGAAGTTTAGTCAATTTTGTCTTCTTTCGATGAATATCAGGGCCTATTGAGCAAGAGATTTGACAGCCAGCTTACAGTTGATATATGGGATGAACCCAAACCTTGCTTTGAGATTCGCTTTTTGCTCTTAGACTCTGAGATTGACATGGGCGGACAGGAGTGCTGAGAGTGGCGAGTGATCCGAGTTCGAGTCCAATTCTATTGCCTTTCCACCTGGGAGTTATATGTAAACAGACATAACCCATGACGGATCCATGGTGCTGGTATATTAATGCTAACATAAAGGGGGTATATGGATGGGATCCATGGCACACCATATATAGCAGCACCGTTAGGATCCGTCATGGGTAATGATATGATATGAATCACAAGGGCGTGGCCAAACCTTGGGGAATCCCCAGAAGCCAGATATACATACCCGGCCTGGTAAACTGCCACATTTTGCTATGGAAAGATCCACCATTTTCAATGGGAAAATCCACTATTTCGACTGGGCCATTTTCAATAGCTATGTTAAATTACCAGAGGGTAGATATCATTGATATTCATGGACTCTAATTCGTATCATTCTCATGAATGTTGATGATATCTTTCAGGGCAAAACAATTGGATACAATTGGGACAACTCCAATTCTGGACTCTGAGCCGGCACAAGTTTTCCCAGAGCCCAGTCCTACCCTGGAAGTTTTGTAATTTCAAGCTATCTGTCTCCCACGTTCCATATCTAATTGAACTGCAACATTACACTACCGGAGGCTGGATGAGGACAGATGAGGCGATCGAACATTGTCAATGGTTTCGACCTAAATTTTGGAAGAGCTTACTGCAGATTTAGTTCTCATGGAACTCCTGTAGATTCTGTGCCATAGGGCAACAGCAACAGTGGATCAAAACGTGATCGTCATGGCAAACGACTTCCCCCGATCTCGCTGCAACGGGCGACTATGCCTGCCGCAAGAGTTTTGGATCTTAACAAGGCCACCAGACAGAAGTTTCGTGATTTTCGTGATCCTGAAGTATCAAGTAAATGGTGTACCATCAACCTTCAGCCATCAACCTTCAGAGGATTCTGAATGGCAAAAATCACTGAACAACCTGGATTTCAGCAAGTGATCAGAGATAGCATCAACAACACCATCTTGTTGGCGCCGGCGTTGGGGCGTTGGGGGGCCTGAAAAACGAGAAACCGCTGGAGAAACAAACGCATGTTGGGGATGGAAGGCACTTAAACCAACCAGGGAACCGGAAATCTCTGACTTTAAGGCAAGGATTAGGATGGAGCCAATGTAAATGCAGATAGAACTTAATTTGCCTCGATTTTTTCCCATGGTGTGACCACATCACAATGCCCCGATGGCTTATTTCATGTCTATAAAACGGATGACGCAGATCTCCTGAGATTTTTTAGTTTGTAACTGTCCAATTTCTCGGAATAGCAGATCGATATAGCCTGAGTTGTGCTACTGTGATTCATTATGTTTTTTTTTTCAAAACTATTTCCCCTGATATCCCCATATACCCTTGTGCAATGTGGAAATCTGTAGCTAGTCATTTTCTTGGGCCCATATGGCTCCACAACGGGGGACATTTGAAAATGATAGGAGAAGGGACTACTAGAATCCAACATGGACAACATATATATATATATATATGTATATATATATATATGTATGAGGGACCTTTAGGTCATATTATGCATATGCTGGCCGCTCGAGACTTCATAGATTTAAAAGATTTACAAGAATAAAAAGAATTGAAATAATTAAAAGATTTGACAGATTTAAATATTTAATTCTTTTAAATCTTTTAATTCTCCAGAGCTTTAAAAGATTTAAAATATTTAAATATTTAATTCTTTTAAATCTTTTAATTCTCTAGAGCTTTAAAAGATTTAAATCCCAACAGGTTCCCAGAATCTCACGTCCTTTGGGGATTTAAAATATTTAAAAGAATTAAAAGATTTAAAATATTTAAAAGATTTAAATATTTAATTCTTTTAAATCTTTTAATTCCTCAGAGCTTTAAAAGATTTAAAAGATTTAAATATTTAATTCTTTTAAATCTTTTAATTCCCCAGAGCTTTAAAAGATTTAAACATTTAATTCTTTTAAATCTTTTAATTCTTTTAAATCTTTGAAGTCTCCAGGAATCCTCCAACAATAGGGTCAGCTCACGATTTAAAGCTTTTAAATCTTTTAATTCCCCAGAGCTTTAAAAGATTTAAATATTTAATTCTTTTAAATCTTTTAATTCCTCAGAGCTTTAAAAGATTTAAAAGATTTACATATTGAATTCTTTTAAATCTTTTAATTCCCCAGAGCTTTAAAAGATTTAAAAGATTTAAATCCCAAGAGGTTCCCAGAATCTCACGTCCTTTGGGGATTTAAAATATTTAAAAGAATTAAAAGATTTAAAAGATTTAAACGATTTAAAAGATTTAAATATTTAATTCTTTTAAATCTTTTAACTCCTCAGAGCTTTAAAAGATTTAAAAGATTTAAATATTTAATTCTTTTAAATCTTTTAATTCCCCAGAGCTTAAAAGATTTAAAAGATTTAAATATTTAATTCTTTTGAATCTTTTAATTTTCTCAGAGCTTTAAAAGATTTAAAAGATTTAAATATTTAATTCTTTTAAATCTTTTAATTCCCCAGAGCTTTAAAAGATTTAAAAGATTTAAACATTTAATTCGTTTAAATCTTTTAATTCTTTTAATTCTTTTAAATCTTTTAAATCTTTGAAGTCTCCAGGAATCCTCCAACAATAGGGTCAGCTCACGATTTAAATCTTTTAAATCTTTTAATTCCCCAGAGCTTTAAAAGATTTAAAAGATTTAAATATTTAATTCTTTTAAATCTTTTAATTCTCCAGAGCTTTAAAAGATTTAAAAGATTTAAATCCCAAGAGGTCCCCAGAATCTCACGTCCTTTGGGGATTTAAAATATTTAAAAGAATTAAAAGATTTAAAAGATTTAAAGATTTAAAAATTTAAATATTATTTTTTAAATCTTTTAAACTCCTAGAGCTTTAAAGATTAAAGATTAAATCTTTAATTCTTTTAAATCTTTTAATTCCCCAGAGCTTTAAAAGATTTAAAAGATTTAAATATTTAATTCTTTTAAATCTTTTAATTCCCCAGAGCTTTAAAAGATTTGAAAGATTTAAATATTTAATTCTTTTAAATCTTTTAATTCTTTTAAATCTGTTAATTCTTTTAAATCTTTGAAGTCTCCAGGAATCCTCCAACAATAGGGTCAGCTCACGATTTAAATCTTTTAAATCTTTTAATTCCCCAGAGCTTTAAAAGATTTAAAAGATTTAAATATTTAATTTTTTTAAATCTTTTAATTCCTCAGAGCTTTAAAAGATTTAAACGATTTAAATATTTAATTCTTTTAAATCTTTTAATTCCCCAGAGCTTTAAAAGATTTAAAAGATTTAAATATTTAATTCTTTTAAATCGTTTAATTCTTTTAAATCTTTTAAATCTTTTAAATCTTTGAAGTCTGCAGGAATCCTCCAACAATAGGGTCAGCTCACGATTTAAATCTTTTAAATCTTTTAATTCTCCAGAGCTTTAAAAGATTTAAAAGATTTAAATATTTAATTCTTTTAAATCTTTTAATTCCCCAGGGCTTTAAAAGATTTAAAAGATTTAAATCCCAAGAGGTCCCCAGAATCTCACGTCCTTTGGGGATTTAAAA